GTGCACTGCGAATAATTTCATATGAAAAAATATATATTTTTTTTCAAATCCACTTTTTTACTGTCGTTTTCAACGCAATTTCAATTTTTTTCCCAAATTAAATTCAATAAATTCACACTCACACATTTCCTATTGTACTTTTGCATTGAACTATTATTTGACTTTAATATACTAGATTTTCATACACATTTCGAATGAATTCAGTTCAGTTGAAACGGAAATGAATTTTGTTGACATAAGTAACGTTTTCCGTTTTTTTCCATTACTCTGTATTGAAATGGTTGCGTCTACTGGAATTTAATTATCAGCTATATTGAGATTTTCAAATACAAAAGCTCAAATGGCTTAACAGTCTATTTGGGGCTACCGTTTTCTTGTATTCGGTTATTTTGCTCGCGTGTGCTGCACCTCTGTCTTTCGGTGTCTCTGTCTCTATCTATATCTCTCACTCTTTTTGTCATCCTTGTTTTATCCAACCGAAGAACACTACGAAGAATCTAAATGCAATATAATACACACGACAAAGATAGCGAGAATGAAGAATGAACGAAGGAAGAAGAAAAAGAAGATCAGTGTTTAGCCTTTTGTCGATTTATATTTGAATTTGTGAGGAAATATCAATAAAATACTGCATCATCACATACCAAGTGACAGCACTATACAAGCGCCATTAACATCAACATTTTTCCAATTCACAAAAGATCCAGCCATAAAAATAAATGCACGCTCAATGCAGTGCATAAAAATAAATGTGGTATTAGAATTTATTTCATTGAAATAACCTATCTCGCAGCAGCGTTCACTTTCATCCCTCTATTGTTTATCGTGTTTTAATGCTTACGGCTGTCTCGGCGTATTATTTGCTGCAGCGCATTGGTCAAATGGTTTTGCGCTTTGGTCGCCTTTCAACTTCTATTTTTTTTTTTCTCGTTGCTGTTGTTGTTGTTGTTCGTTTGCCATCGCATACAAACTGATGTGAAATTGCACATCAACAATAAAAAATCAAGTGCAATAAATAGCTGTATAATAATTTATCGAATAATTGAATCGAAGAAAGATTGCCAATTTCTTGTATAAAATATAAGTAAAAATAGTCTTTCGGCTTTAAGCGCAAGATAATGGTATTAACACATACATTTTCGAAATACGGAGTCGAGGCAGGGGGCGCATTGGTGTTAACACTCTCACACACACAGTTCACAGTCGTCTCAGTCAACCGCTATCGCCAGTATCACGTATCTGTGCTTGCAGGCGACAAATTCAATTTCATCGCTTTAACAATTGGTTTCGCTTCCCTTTCTCTCGTTCATTGTTTTCCTTTTTTATTCGGCATTATCGACGACGATCCAGGGCAGTCTCATGGCTTACAAATGGGCTACACATACCGCTCAACAACAATGAATCAGGGAGCAAGTAGAAGAGAAAAAAAAAAGCAGAAGCATGCACAGCACAAACGGAATAAAAAGAAAGGCGAAAAATAAAATGTACCGACATGAGTTTCAACTATAAAACGAGGAAAAATGAGCTAAAGAAAATAATAGCATCTAAAAGTACAAGAATATGCTTTTCCGCATGAGTGAGGAAAAAATTCAACAAGATTGTGAAATGCGTGTTTCAGTGATATTTTCCGCTTTTCATTTACACTCTGCCCCCTCTCTCTCTCTCTCTATCTCTCTCGCCTTTCACCATTTTTGTTTTCATTTTTCATTTGTTCGTCGTTGTTGTAATCGATCCTATGCTTTTGTGGATACGTGATGCGTGAACACTTAGAATTTTCGTTTCGCTCGCTCGTTTACACTGAATTCACTCACACAGCCTACATATATGTTCACAATCGACAAGAGCTGCGTATCTGATTTATAGCATTTTATTAGCCGACGCTGTATCATTTTCTTAACATGTAATTGCTCACATACAGCCCCATTTGTGTTATTCATCAATTTTATCAGCGCATATTTGGAACGTATCATGGGCGTTCAAAATGAAGCGAGCGAGTAAGTGCTCCATATGGTTGAGACACGTTGCTCGTTCATCTATCATATAGCTTTTGTGTGTACGCTGATATAGCAACATGTAGCCCATTCCGAATTCGAATTGCCGAGTGAAACCGATTCTATTGTATTACTGCTTATCCTTCTGTGCTCAGCCAAATGGTATTTGTATTTGGTTGCATGCTTTATACTCTTCTGAAAATTATTTACTTTTGGATTTTGACGTTCCTCGCGTACGGAGTATGGTTTGTTGTTATTGTCGTTGTCATTCTTCTTCTTCTTCTTCTTCTTCTTCTTCTTCTTCTTCTTCTGTTATCTGCAATAGAGTGTCTGTACGGTCGATACTGACTGAGAATAAACGTGCTCTATTTCAGGAAATAAAAAATAATCTGAAAAATTTGTCGACCGCAAATAACAGTTCAATACTCGACAATAATGAACAATGAACGAAAAAAGAGGAACTCCAATAATCTTCTGCGTTGGCGTTCTACTTGAACGATTCAACCATGATAATCGACACTCAATAAATCCACGATTATATCTATTGAAGCGTTGTTCAACAATGCCAATGTAAACTGTTCAGATAACGGGCGTTTCATGGAATACAACACAGCGTCGACGATGGGCAAACGAGCGATGATGGTTGTTGTGTACCGTTCGTCATATTTTTCGAAATATATATACAATTTTATCATAACAAATACATGCACGCTCACACACACACACACACATAGTCTTTGTCTGCTCCAAACAGCTGATAAGATTAATGCGGTGGAGCGCGTTCAGAAAAAAAGGGCTCGAATGACACAGTACAATGGGATGTGCCATTAAATCGTAATGTTTATGTCGCGACAATGACCAAAATAAGGCCAAAGCCACACTTTCATCTACACCCAGCAAAAAATTAATTGAAAAGTTTCAAAACCATCAAATGCAAACAGATTGAAATCATCTATTTCAATGAAGCACATTCTCAGATTTGTTCTAAAACTGTCAAAAACTTTGAAATGCATTCTCTTCGACTTTCTCTTGCTCTCTCACTCTGTGTCGGCAGAAAACAAAATATAAAAGACCTAATTTCGCACCGTTTGTATATGCGCTTATGAAAAATTTAGGATGTGAATGAAAAGTTTCGTCAATAGTTATGCTAAGAGTTTTAATTTTAAAATGACAACTCCAAGTAGAATATTGTGTCGATGCCAATAAAAGCGTGTAGCTCTTCATTGCAATCGCAATTGGCGGTCCCGTTGAATACCATTTGATGTGGTATGTGTTCGCGATATTGCTGTGTATGTCAATTGAAACTGCAAAGCTGTACTTAAAATGCAAAATAAAATTGAAATCATTGTGAATTTGGTGCAACACACATTGAGCAAAAAACAGTGTGGATATATATGTGTGTCTGTGCGTGTGTTGCAAATGAGACACAAAAATGTAATTTTCAAAAGGGGAAAATAATTGGTTTATGTGGAAAATGCACGGAAATTGCACACTGTATTAAGCGAGCAACACTGTATGACTTTCCACAGCTGCTACTGCTCAAGAGAATAATTTTCAATTTAGTTTATTTGTTTATTTGCATTCGTTTCTCTAATGGAATCATAGAGAAGAGTGCTTGTATTCAATGGTTGTTTTCACCAATAACTTCATGCTATATTGAGTAGTATTCTTCTCTCTTTCTCGCTCTCTGTCTATCCGTCTATCTGCACACACACAGAAACTCTGTATGATATACACAAGCAGTAGAGAGCATTTGATTCGTTTGAGGCCACAAAGATGTCTCCAACCATGTCTTCCTTTTTCCCTTCGCTTCTGTCGACACTCAATCATTGAAGCTGTTTTCAAAGGCCATCATATAAATAAGAAAAATGTGAAATTGGCTTTGAAGATTTTTCACTTAAATAAGTTTTCCTGCAAAGAAGCAACGAAACCGGAGATGCCTGATAAGAAGAAAATACGATAGCGTTTGGTATGACTGTATGCTAGAGTCTCGACAATGGTGCGAAAAGTATATAGCTACGTAAATCAATGAATATTCATTGGTGTAGAAAAATTGAATTGAAAAAATTAAACGAAAAAAAAAAAAATGGTTGTTGCTGTTCGATTAATCCATCAACAAACAGTGCTTACTCGAAGAATTATTATCGTAAAGTCTTCCCATTATGTTCGCGTTTTAGTGTACCTGCTTTCGTTGGCTTTTGTTTAGCGTGGATTGCTGAAATGACATTTATTATGTATACAGCCTAATTTTCATGACATGAAACTATTAAACAAGATTTGTACATAACATTCTATAATTTAATTCGTCCTATTTCGCCAAACTTGCCTTCTCTTAATCGCAAGTAGACAGAGGTATCGACACAATATGCTTCGCGCATTCACGCTTCCGTTTGGAATGAAGCAGACAGAGTAAACGAATCGAAAAACAGAGGACAAAATCGAAGTGCGAGTGAGAGAGAGAGAGAGAGAGAGAGAGAGAGAGAGCGAGCGAGCGAGGGAGAAATGTTGGCACATGCGCAAACTCACTTTTATTGACGCATCACATCGAACCAAAATGCCATATATAGTGTATTTTTGCAACTGAAGTAGCCTCATTGGATTGTCTCAATCGCTCTCTCTCTCTCTCTCTCTCTCTCTTTCTCTTTCAGCGCTGCACAGAGAGCGAGAGGTAGAGGGGATAGAGAATGGTAAATTTTTCAAGCCACGTTATTGTGTTCTCTCTTCCATTCGATGGCCTGTTTGCTTGAATGTACATAACAACTGCTCTTTTTTGGCGCATTGAATGAAAGTCAATATAGTTTCCACACTACACATGATCCAACGGATTCAGCCAATTCAAAAAAGGGGCATATCATAACACAAATGAGATTTTTACTTTAGTTGCGACTGTAGTCGGTTGTATTCGAACGGGTGGTTTTATTTTCGTTGAGTTATCTGAAAATAGAAGCAACTTTTGTTGGTATCGACGTTGCCAATAAATAGCAGATTTTTCGTTGTTTTTTTTCTCTCTCTCTCTCTCTCTCTCTCTCTCTCTTTTTGATATATTATTGTTGTCATTTGTCGAACATACAGTTTAAAAACGATTTTTCGCAAAACGCGAGCTTCATAAACGGAAAGCTTTACGATATAGCTTAGATTATTTTCCGAGGAAATTTCAGTGGCTTTTTTATATAACAAAAAAAAAAAACAAAGCTGTGACTACAAACCTGTTCAACCGTGTTTTTTTTAACTACTAGGAAATGTTGAAATATTTAACATATTAAACAACAACAAAAATTCATAAATAAGCAACAACACAAATTCTATCTCTCTCTGTGTGGCACTATATTTTTGGCTCGGACATCAGTTTGCGAATACAGTTTGATACAAGATGAATTTCATAGGTACAATTTTAATGACCTTCTATAAGTGGTAGAAAAAAAAAACATATGTTCGAATTTAAATAAAACAAAACTTGTTGTTAGAAAATAAAAATAAAAAAAGAAGTTGAAATCAAATATGATTCAATAGATTGAACGGATGTGACCATTCATGTTTGAACCTTATATAGCATGGCGTTTGGATTGAAATGTCTTGAACTGTGTATTAGAATTAGTTTAATTGTTAGTGCCATTTTTTGCGTTCTCTATCCATAGGCACAAATATGTTCGGTACATCGAACAGGCATTTTAGAACACAATCAGGAAATGTAGTGGAAAAAAATGAATCGCAATCAATTTTATGTGCAGATGCATGTTGTTAGATTGAAATGACTATTTTATTTTTATTATCCCTCCAATCAATCAAAAGCATACTCAGCGCATTTCGAGATAATCGATTATAGAAATCCATAGTGTAAAATTTATCACACATTTTTTCTCTCCTATTAGTTTCAAACTATTTTTTCAATGCTTCAGTAATTTAACTATGAAAATGAAGAAAAAAAAAGCTCACGATGAAAATTAATTTATCTAAGAAAGACATTGAAATTAAATGACATTCGTTGAAACAATAGGTGCTGTTGGTGGTGGTGACGATGATGGCGGTGAGGACAACAAAGAAAAGGCAGAAGAAGAGGAACGAGAACGTCTCGAAGCCATTCGTGAGGCTGAAGAACGACGAAAGGAAAAGCATCGAAAAATGGAAGAAGAACGAGAAAAGATGCGCCAAGACATCCGAGATAAGGTATGTAAAATGCACGCTATTTCTCTCTCTCTCTCTCTCTCTCACTTTCTATTTTAATATGATCCAAATTCATCTTACATTCACACAATAAAATGCACATTAGTGTTCCTAGTGATTATGTAGACGTTTCCACAACATAGATGATTAACCACGAAATGTCGGGAGGGGGGGGGGAATGACAAAAGCGAACGGTTTCGAAGGAGTTGGTGAATTTGATGTGTAATTAAGGAAAAATCAGCACAGCTGCTTTCATTAAGTTCGCCAAACTCCCCAAACACTTTTGTACATTTCTCTCATTACTATCCTGATTATCATTCAGATTGTGCACATTCACCACATTTTTTTTCTCACTTTTTTGTTTACACTATTTTGGTAACGAAATTATTTTTCGATCTAGAACGTTGAATATTTGTATTTCATAGCACTAAATAAAAAAAAATTAAAAAAAAAAAACACACAAATCAACATCAAAATAATGGACTAGTAAAGGCAATACTCATACTGTATTGTGGTTTTATGCACTGCCTGTAAGACACACACACACACACACACACACTGGACTCTTTATCTCTCTGTCTCACTGTCTATTGATAAATCTGAATGGAACAAACACACATACACACAATGTATTCGACCAAAATCAGTTGTCCGAATCGATAAAAAAAAAATCAAAACCGAAACCACCTATTTGAAATCAAATTGACTCTAGTAGGGAGTCCTTGTAACAAAAACGACTCCCTAACGGAGTCAAATTGATGACTTCTAGGTCATTCAGCAACATGTAAATCATAGAAAATTAACAACCAAACCAGATATAGCAACTAATCAGCTTAGTGACCACTCCAAGCACAACAATCACCATCACCAAAAAAAAAAAAAAACAATGAAATTAAAATTAAATTTTACAATGAAATCTAACACTGAACTAGTTCGTATTTGTTTATTTAGATATTTTGACTATAAAAATGAGTAATGTCCATTTTTATTATTTATTATTTGCCTGAGAATTCTCAATTTTTGTTGTTTGCTTTAATTTTAATCGTTGCATACAGCACTTGGGGGGGGGGGAAAGCATTCTCGAATAGCGTGAATTGGCTGAAACTGTTTTCATGTTTCTGTTACAGTTAACCGAAATATGAATGGCGCCTGAAATTGTCGCCTCATTGCATTTGTCTCGTAAGCTGTTTTGTTTGTTCGCAAGTGGCGCAGTTCATTCCAATAAACAGATTAATTTTCCCTTTACACTCTTGTTCTATATGCTTTGTACGGATACAGAACGATTTCGAACTGGTATTCATTAAATTGATGAATATTTGAAAGCATTTTCTCTTCGTTTTTGCGAGATACAAACGTTTTCTTCATGTTTTAACTTTTCAGTGAATCCGACGTGACTTTCGTATTGTCCAAATGACTCTCGAAAAAGTACATACTAGTATTTTTAAGAACTATTCTAGAATGATTTTCCTATTTCATTTGTCGATATCATTGGATGGGTTTGCATACAATTGAAATGGCTAGTTAAAAAATAAAATCGAGAATACACATTTGTTATGATGGAAAATTGAAAACAAAAACACTTTAATCATACCTAGTCAGCACAATCAGCCCATTGAAATGCTATTTTCATGTAACCATATAATCTTCCGTTTTGTAGTCTCATTAGTGAGTATTATTTTGTGGTTTTTAGTTTTTTCCTCCTTCTGTTTTTTTTTTCTTCTTATTTTTTTCAATTCCTGTATAATTGACTCGAACGAATTTAGCGAAAAAATACGAACAAATTATATTTTGTATTTTCTGTTCGATTTTCGTTTGCTATTTAAATTGCATCGATTTATGTTTCAAGCGTGAAAGGTTGATGTTTTCTATTTTTTATCTTTCTCTCTCCCTGTGTGTTGTTATTTCAAATTATAGTACAACATAAAAAAGAAAGAGGAACAAGTAGAACAACAACCTCAAGAGGAGCCGAATCCACTAATGCGGAAGAAGAAAACACCCGAAGAGCTTGCAGCCGAAGCGGAGCAAGAGGATCTAGATGACTTCACAAGTAATTAAATTTTCCCATTTTCTCTTTGTAGAATTTTCATTTTATCACAGCGAGATAAAAAATAAAACTCCAATATATCAAACGCTGACACAATGAATTGAAATTAATTATAATTGGTGCCAAATGGCTGATATGCACATTGACATATTTTTTTTTCCAATGAATATTTTATGGTTGACGTATGGTTGTAGTGTGGAAATACGTTATCTATAAAAACTTATTGAACAGCAACAACACTCGAATCGCTTTCATGTATCAATGGAAATCAATACACACATTATACTCCCGTGAATAATCAAGAATCGAGCACTGTTCTTCACTCACCATAATTATTATGTCAATTGCCTAAATTCGAATAATACATTTTTTTTTTTAATATGATTTCTTTTATTTCCCGCTTTCCCCAACACAGAATTGAAGAACACAATAGAGAGTCAAGTAAACGAAATAAAAACGCAGCTGGAGAGTAAATGCGTATTGCAGTGATAAGGTAAATTATGAACGAACAAACAAAAAAAAAACTGAATTCGTACACATGAATTACCAACTGAAAGTGATCGAAGTACGCTGAACGATGCAAATGGACGGCTACCGAAAAAAAAAAACAAACAGCAACAACAACAAAAACCAATTTTGGTCGATCGATTGGATGAACAATTCTTAAAAGACATTGCCACACATAACACACAACCCTCACATGGAAAACAAAAGATTAGAAAAAAAATACCAACAAAAAAGTAAATAAATAGTCTTTATCTATCATACATTCACAAAAAAACACATGCATCCACAGTAATATTGTTATTGTTATTACTTATTATTATCATTAAAACTAATTCAATATATACAACAACATGAAACTAAAAAAAATCAATATTAGTTCTAGCGAATAAGGAGAACAAAAAAAAAAAAACAAATATAAAAATAAGATTTACTAGCAAAGATATTTACTGAAAAAGAAATGTTGCATGATGCATGACATTTGTGGAAAATCTAAATAAAAAAAATTAAAGCAAGTTAAAAATTGTTAAAATCAAGTGTCATGGTCATGTTGTTGTTATTTTTGCAAATTACAAGACAAAAAAAAAACTAATAAAATTTGAAAATAAGATCTTCAAAAAACTAATATAGAGGTATCTAAACAAAAAAAAAAAAACAAACAAACATATAAATTCCTTTATAATTTAATCGATTGATAGTATGAATTCGCATTGTAATTTCATTCGTTAGATTTTTGTTTGCATAAAAATTGTTAACTTGAAACAGTGAACGAGACACGCCAATTCCTTGTCGAGCATTTATCGTTTCCTTTGTATATATATGAATTTTAAAAAAAAAAAGAGACAAAACCAAATGACAAAAAAGGAATAAGTAGTTGTTTTTTGTAATTATTTATTTTGCTAAAATACCAATTAATGAACAAAAAGTGTGGTAAGGAAAAAAAAATACCATCCGAAGGGAATGTAAATAAAGTGAATCAAATTGTTACTAGGTGAAACAAATACCGGCGCTTAGGTCCGAGAGCGATGAAGCATTTTAATTTCCGTTCAATTTGTTTTTCAGTTGTTTTTGTCTTTTGTTTTTTTTTTTTTTTTTCCTAAAAAAGAAAAAATTAACAAAAATGATTCTAGTGAAATAAAAAGAAACAGTATTTGTTCAGTTTTGGTGGTGTGTGCTTCAAATGTAAATCGATTGATGCGAGAAATTAGAATGAGTCATCATGAGAAAAAGAATAAATATAAATGAATAAAATGAACTAAAACATATGAATAGTAAAATACGGAGCAATGCGAAATAGACGAAAATGGGGAAACGAGAGAGAGAAAGAGAATAAAATTAGTGCGAGCAAAAAAAAAAAAAGAGTTCAATGGAATCCAAATAAACGCTGCATACATAATCCAATATCGATGGGTTTGTGTAAAAATGGTTCCGCAACGTCACAGAAAATTAAAAGAGAGAAAAAAAAAACACGAAAGAAACAAACAAAAAGCATAAATGAGAAAACTCGACATTCGGTAGCATTTAGATGCATCGGATTGTTCCTACGACTTGCAAATTGTATCGTCTGACACAAATAGAAAATCCTATGTGCGATCAACGAAAACGCAGCTCAAGTCAAATAATTGCAGATTTTATATTAACCGTCGATTAAGGGATGCAACAGCTACTCTATGGAATTCCATTTTGTTGAATGCAATAATTTCCTTTTAATTAAATGATTATTCATTATCTCGTCGTTTGAACGGATCGTGCATTCGATTCCATGATTGTGTGCGTCTTTACGACGAGATGCTAATAAGATGCATTTGTTATAGATTTATCAGTAGGCTACTTGGATTTAACCATGCAAACGTGCAGCGACAGCAGCAGCATCAAATCGTTTGCACTAGTTTAATGTCCAGCGCCGCCGTGATACTGTATAACTTAGTTTTTCCATACCAAACCGATGTGTTAACTGCCGTTGAACGGATTCTAGTGAGTTGTTTTGGATAAAAAAAAAAAAAACTTAATCCAAACACACGTACGCATACACACAGACAAACACTTACAAAGTCAAAAGAGAAGATGTGTGTCTAGGGCCCAGACTCTGTGCAATGCATAATTCTCCGTTTTTAAAATTCAAACCAGTTCAGCATCAGTTGATAAGATGCATTTTATTCGGATGAGGAACAAAGACATTACAAAAAAAAAAGATGTGAAGGCATACAATAAAAACTTTTATTTTATATACCTTATGATGAAAAAGTATCTGCTTTTATGAAAAGCGTATGTGATATTCAAAAAAAAAATGCGTATCTCTGAAATAGTAAATGACACTGACTACAATCAAGCAACAGAAAAAAGAAATGAACATGAAATCAAGTGAATACTAACTTAATATGCATTTAAATTAGGAACAACACCAAAAAAAAAAGGAAGCGCTACCGAGTCTAAACATATTTTGTTCATTTTATTTCAAACCGTACATGATGAACAGTTATACAAATATATATTGCAACCAACCTAATAAAGCATGTAGACAGAAGAACAAACAAAACAATACTGGAGGAAACCATAGATTTATTTTGCTATTCTTCGATTTTTTGCATTCACTTTCATAAAACATTAAATTTATTAAGAAAAATTCAGTCAGCAGCAGTGGCTTAACGACTGCACTGTAAATGGCCATACATATACACACTTAGATCTCTTTTTCTTTTCAACTTGCGTACACATTTTCCACTTCCGATGGGCTAGCTTTATATACATTCTCATCCACCATCCAAGACACATCCGATTTCTTTCATTTCGGTTCCCATTCGACAGTTTGGGAGCATCTAGAAAAATCAAATGTACTATTTCAAATTCTTACCATTCTAATCTTGATGCAACAATGCTAGCTAGCATATTGTTCATTTTCAACCGTAGACTTTTCTGCCTCAAATTCGTCTGTCCGATTACATCGTAGTTAATTGCATTCATTTTCAGAAGAAGAAGAAGAAGAAGAAGAAGAAAACACGGAAAGGATGGAATAGAAAAATATATTTTTCTAAATAATAACAACTCAACTAGGCTATCAAAGGAATCCAAACCAAAACAACAACAAAAATGAAAACTAATCAAACTGAAACTAGACGTGATCATTCAATCATCGCATACATTTTCATGCCCGAAAGTAAATATGATATTTTGGAAGAACAAATCTATTACGATACAAAAGAAATAGAAGCGCTTGCACCGTTTTCAATGGCAACGCATTGTATTCGACTGTTTTCAGTTGTGCTGTGTGCTATGCAAGACCACATGCAACAAAATTGAAAAGCCAATACACATTAATACATTTTCACCGGCATTTTGTTCGGAAAGCGGCATTTTTTTTTTTTGCTCTTGGCATCTCATCCTTCGAATTCGAATCGCAACTATGATGATGGAGACACGACCGATCCAGTGCCATGCGCCATAATCGGTTGCTATGATGAATACAAACTACGTGTACATTTATATGGCACACATGGCATTTTTCCAAGTTTTCCAAAAAAAAAAAAATAAACAAACAAACAACATACATTGATTACACAACCGTCAGTAATATATTTTAGTAAATTATTGAAACTGAGAAAAACTGATTAGTACATCAAAGCAATATATAAACAGAGCAAAAACAAAACGATCGAAAAGGATGTAATGTGGACATTATTTTATTTTTCTATTTCTTATTACTATTTGAAGCTAGATGAACAGTGGTCACAAACGTATCTATAGAATCTAATGAGTGAAATAGCTAAATGAATAAAAACGGAACACAAAACGAAAACTAGTATTTAGAAGCAAGCCAAAGATGATGATTGGGAAAGTTTACAACAACAACAACAACAATAACCACAACAACAACACAGAACACAAAAGATTTAAAAACGCAACATTCAAAACTGCAATCAGCCTAATAAGCTTTCACAGTAAACTAAAGTTAGCCACTATTTTTTAGAGGTCTTTAAACTTATCTTAAAAACAAAGAAAAGACAAATGGAAGTCAAATTTGGAAAAAAATGCGAGTTTCGAGTCAAGTCTTAAACTAATGAATTCAAGTACATCGAGAGCAATTTTACATTTTATGAACAATCAAAAACCAAAAAAGAGAAATGAATAACTACCCTAAACCAAAAGCTGAAGCTCAAGCCAAACCAAAAATAAAAACTGAAGCAACAAACACAACGAATGACTTCAAAAAAAAATCAAGGGAATCTAAATTGTTTAACAGGAACCACAAGCAAATAATACGCAAAAAATGAACTTTTGCCAAAAAAAAAAAAAAAAAAATGGAACTCCAATGGAATTTCTGATAGAGGCGAAATGGTTGCAATTTCAATCGGACCATTTTTTGCCGAAAATACCGAAACAGTTGATAAAATGGGAACCTTCTGACGACCGATCCATCACATCCCGCTCGCAAACTTTGTGCTTTGTTTCACACAAATACAAACTGTTTCAACTAAACAAATAAACAAACAAAAACATTAAGGGAAATCGCAGCACATATCACATGATTGTTCATAAAATTGACACCAGACTCGAAATACTTTTCAAAGAATCAATCACTTTATTTTTTTCTCTGCTCTATCTCTCGATAGTTGTTGCACTTAGGTAACGTTGAATTAAAACAACATAACAAACATAAAAAGGAACAAAGAATAATTCTAACAAAAATACTGAAGAACTGTTTTATAAAAACTTAAGAAAAATTGTAGGATATGCACGAGTGTGTGTTTCTCTGTTTGATTAACAACAACAACAACAACAAAACAAATGGATAAGTGACTTACTTAATAAGGAAGAATCAATGCAAAAGCAAGGCATAACATTTTCTTTATCGATTTTTGTTTTTTCTTTTTGGTAATTTCAAACAATAACAACAGAAGAACCATCATTCATTCGGCAAACAAACAAAATTTATTTTCTATTCTCTTCGCATATTTCCTTCTCCTTTCTTCTTAGCCGGCCGCCCGCCGCACGAACATACATTCAAGCTATGTGCTTCTGACTCTGATTCGCAATGAGACTAACAACAACTCAACAGAATCACCAGCAAATTTCGACAAAACACAGTGTTTTTTTGGCGATTATTTGTGATTTATGCAGTAAATTTTGTAATTGTCAATTCAAGTCAGAAGTTCGTAGCATTATAATTAAAGGACAAAGCAAAACGAATAAATTCATCCCTTCCTCAAATCTCGCTTGTTATTTTATAGAATTTATTACGTAAATTTCACTGAGAAAAAAAATGGAATTAGCGCTAGCAAAATCTAAATTTTAAATACAACATGCAAGCATATATTGCTATCTAATAGTAAACAGGAAAAAATTTACTATTATCTTAACAAAAAAAAAAAAAAAAACTATTTGAAACCAAAACGGAAAAAAAATTAGAAAAAATGATAAAAACAACACTTAAGGAAAAATGTTACTCAAGATGATATAGAACAAATATTTATCCTCTCGCAAACTCCAAATTCTTCAATTGAAGAGTTTATATTCTGGAACATATAATACAGTATATATAAATAAGATCTGGGATGCTATCGTCAACATTGCGGAAGACTTCACCTCAAAAAAGAAGAAGAATAAATTCTCCTGAAATTTCTTTCGCTCACTTCTGTTCACTCATGATCCTTTTTCACTTTTGTTCGGCCATGACTGCCGCAATGGTATTCACCCAACTGAATGCTTGCATCGAGAAGGATTTATGGCATTTGACTGAACAATATTTTGATCACTGCGCACTTTCAACTAGTAATAGATTAGGCACAGGGTTCAGAATAAATACAGAACGCAAGCTCCCACGTAAAATATGTGGTCTGTAGTTTTAGACAAAATCGATGTGAATCGATGAACGGCCGTTGTCCAAAGGATTGTTTTCATTGTATTTTGCTTTTGAACCGAAGTAGTAGTTCTATTGCATATTCAATTCTGACGTTGAGTACGCCAAGTATGCATGCTCACATATGAATAGAAAAATCTTTCCAAAAAATATTCTTCTATGGGTGTGTGGGTCTACTGTTTGAAGCGAAAACATCACGTACCCGAGGCACATTTTCACAGTTAGTAGAAGAATTTCAACGGTCGATGGAACATGTCGCCTCTACTGACAACTATATCGATTATTCTTAATATAATTTTTATTCTCAAATACGATGCAAAATAGATGCCCGCATTTGTCCATCATAAATATATCCACTGCCTTAGAAAGAAAAATAATGAAGAAAAAAAAAAACTTATACGAATACTTCCCTTGCAATGCTCATGTTAAAAGTTCAAGCATCGATTTTATCAGTGTGTCGAACATTTCGAATGGTTGTTCCGATAGGATGTCTGCTCCATTTGGTAACAAGTGAAGCATTCTTTTTTTTTTTTTTTTTTCATTTTCGTTAGAAATCATAAAATGGTTGTCAGTGTGCAGATATTTCGATATCGATGACCGAAGCGTTCAGAGCGACAGACAGATAAATGCGTTTAATACACGCAGAAGAACGACATTTTGCTACATGAAATTTATGATATGCAAATTACAAGTAGGTAAATTCGATGTTTTCAAATCCTCCGGTTTCAAAATTTCCAAAAAAAAAAAAAAAACTAGAGAAGTTTATTGTAACTCGTTGTTGTTATTGGATTTGGAATGTTTCGAGCGAAGCTTGCGCACGCGGCTATGTAATCGAAACAACAAAGATTTAAAAAAGAAGAAGAAAACACAACATATTTATTATCTATTTCGATGAATGCGGTTTCAGTTCTTGCGTCCTTAATACCCTATTATAATGTATCAAGAAAAAACACACACACAAATTAATTAAACAATTAGTCAACTTCTGATATGATTGCCCACTCATTCGTCGATTTGTGTTTCATCGCAAGTCGACTCATTTTTCTTTATTTCTGCTAATCAAGTTCACACAATCGCTGATAGCATGGCTCTTTCGCGAATTTTCGATGAAAACATCCAAAAATATGAGAAATGACGATGACGTAATTCGATTTACAGTAAAAATAAATTGATGAATGAATGACGCAATATTATCGTTTAGATTAGATTTGAGTTTCTACAATACACGTTTGGGTCCAACTATTACTGCTTTTTTTTTTTTTTTTTAACAAACACCGAATAAAAATTATATAGTTGAAAATCATTTATCCTCCCTCTTTCAAACACTTGTTCACGGAACGTACATTGAATATCTGTAAATGTTTCTGAATCATATCATTTGATAGAAAACAAATGAAAACCCGATTCGAATAGAGCTCTCGATATTTACATAAAATATTCGTACTTGTTGAATTGAATTTTAGGAGCTTCCATTTACAAGTTCTTTGATAATATAATAGAAAGATTATGGTTTACTTGTTCGTTTCGTTTTCTTTTGTCGACACAGCCGAAACACATAAATTGCATGTCGTAATTGTTTTTTTTTTTTTTTCGATATCCTTCTATCACTTTTAATTTGAATGTAGGAATTAGTTCAAAGCCATTTAATTTCAATTTTATTCCTAAATCCATTCGAAAAATTGATTTGTTTCTAAGTTTCAAGTAGCTAGCAGTCATACAAACGGTGAATTGTTTGTTTAGGAAACTTAACAACGAATCCTTAGACATTTATTATTACGTTTGTAGTTGAACATATTAGAAAAAATAAATAAATGAAAAAGTAAAAATAAAAGTGCATAAACGAATGAAACATGCAAGAAAGCACAGGAATTTTCAAAACCCTAACATAAAACCTTTACCTTAAATAAAATAACTGAAATCAACAAAAAAACAACAATAACAAAAAATGAATTAGTGTTTAAACCAAAATAAAGATTTCGAAACCAAATAACAACAATTTACAGAGTAAACGACAACAACAGCAATGTCTTAAAGATCTGATTCCATTCATAACTTCAAAATACATTAGATACGATCGCAAAATCATTATCTCTTGGATTGATCGATCTCCATTACCAGTCTATGTACCAAATAAAGTTAATCAAACAATCTAAACAAAAATATTAAATTAAACCCGAATGAATAGAAAAACACACAAAGAAATTCATGATACAACGTTAGTAAAAAGCCCTTAAATGAATTTAATTGCGGTGCAAAAATCGAATTCCAAATCCACCGCGTGCATTAGAATCCAGCTAAAATGCATTTACTTTATTGATCATATAAATTAAGATACATTAATTACATACTAAATCTCATAACGAAAAATGCACGAAAATGCTGATTCTTATTTGTTTTTAGCCAATGTTCATCAGAAAACCATGATTCAAATAAACACACACACACACACATACGACAAAATACAAGACCTGTTACTAAGATGCTTGACTAGCATTCTCTCACTGCTTTTGCCACTGAATGAACTAAACCAGAAAAAAAAACACACATATAAAAAAAGAATCAACAACAGCCATATGAACATTTTATTTTGACAACCATTTGGGTTTTTGCTATATATTTGTTGAGTAATGGACGAAAAAAATAAATAAATGAAAAGTTGAAATAAATCTCCAACCCTTTAAAGTACCGATTAGTGCTCTGTTCGCAATATGATTCGTGAAAGTTTTAGACTTTTTTTTACGACTGGTAGTTTTCTTACTGTGATTGTTATGTCAAAAAAAAAAAAAATTTGTTGAATGGTTGAGTTTTTATCTTATTTTAAATGAAACAAAAAATAATAATGAAAAGTTACCGAGAGAGAGAGAGAGAGACACAATCGAGAAACACAAGAGCAAAAATGTTAGGAAAAAAACATGGAGTTTATCACATTTAGGGAAATGAAAGCTGTGTAGAACGGTTCTCAAGCTTTTCGACAGCCCATCCAAAATTTTAACACCTCAACTCACTCTTACTTAACTTAAGGTTCATCTAAGCTTAGTTATCGCTTTATTGTTTTACCAACTGAAAAGAGAACAACAACAACAACAACAACAACAAAAGCCGTTTTATCGGAGATTTCGAAATGATTTTTTTTTCGACATATCCATCTTTGTTTTTGCTTAGTTGCGTGTGTGTATGTATTCTTTGCTAGAAATTAGAGCTCGCATAATCCTAGAAGAAAAACATACAAAAAAAAAACTCCTTTTACAAGTATTAAATATAAACAAAATGTTCAATATAATTTAAAAAAAAAAATCAAGCCAATTAAGAAGAATTGGCGAAGAGGCGTTGTTTGAATGCGCTCAAAGAATGTGGAAATTATTTGCAATCCAGAACGAAACGATATATTTTCCTCTGAATTGAATTTCAAACGAAATCGACCAAATATTTAATGACAACAACACAAAAAATGTAACAAAACAAAAAGTAAGGAACCGCAAAAAAAAACACTTTTATCTTTCGTCTTTTACTTACATTTTCCTTTAGTTTCGATTACACTATTCATAATGAGAACAATGCTGAAAAACAAGATCCAGACAACACTTTATGATTTGCGTTTGATGGACAACCACATAGGATACGTTTATATCATTTTCATTTTGTTTTATTTTTGTGATCACAATTTACCGTTAGTGTAATAATTAATTGGTGCCTTTTGTTAGAGAACAAACATAAAGAAGCATATAACTACAGCAATATTTAGAGAAGCAACAACTTAAAAAGGCAAAAAATAAACCAAAAACAAACCAGTTGATAGTAGTACACATCGAATAAAACCAAAGCAAATTTAACAGCGAGTTCATCAAATTTTCATAGCAATTTTGAATTGATGCAAATAATAAAAATAAAAAAAAGACAAACAAACAAAATCGTTCGAATTTCTGAAATCATCGCAGGCGCATGCGAAAATAGATGGATGCAACAGACAGAATCATTATTTCATGTGATTGAGACGAGTGAACAAAAAATGCGATCCAGAAATAAGGAACTAGAAACATTTCAATCGCAGAACCATGATTTTATTTCTTGTTTGATGTAGTCAATGAAGATAGCATTACAATCGCAAAGATATTCTAATATATCCAACCGAAAAGAAACACCCAATTTACTTAAAGAATAATTGGCATACAAAAGAGATTTTATAAAACATATTATATGGGCTTTAATCGATATTATAGTCAACAGCATCAATTCAAGTAAAAAAACACACACACACTGGTTGTTTGTAATGAGCCACTAACCCCTCTAACCTTACCTCCAGCAAACAAGAAGAGAGACGAAAATGACATGTAAAATTACATAGACTCGCTTATAAAATTCCCAATTAGAGAGCCTCAAGAACATTTTGAATGATTAATTTTTGAATAAGTGTTTCAAAATTTACCTTTCACGTTAGTTTTTACCATTTTTGTTCAATTTGTTCATTAATTTTTAATTAAATAAAAATTATTGGACAATATCTTCAAAAAGCATATGCAATAACAGTTTTTATAAAAAAAAAAAAACAAAATTATGAAGGAACAACTAACGTTAATCTCGGCTTAATTTTCGAAACAACAACACATCTATTCATTGAATGGTGCCAACCATTGATTGAATATTTGTGTGCGCGAACAAAAATGATCGAAAATAAAGGCATAACAACTCATGCCAAGCAGTAATACAAGTCAAATGACATCCACAATAATAAAAGAAAACAACCACAACAACAACAACAACAGCAACAGCTCACATAAAAAGAAACAAGAAGAGAAAGAAAAAAAAAACATGAGAACTTCGTGGAATGGATTTGCGAGAGGTAAATTTATATCGGCACTTTGTAATAATAATTGTTGTTATCCTTATATATATAAATAGTTAACTATTGTTTTGAAAAAAATTGAAAGAAACAAAAAAAAACTGTTTAGTATGTTATAATCACATTAGATGCATTAAAGTGTCTGTTAAAATGAAATACAAATAAAATTAAATGAATTGGATACAGATTGGAGTTTGATTTTTTTTTTATTTGTTCATTCGTTCGTTTGATTTCAGTGGAAAAAGGCGACAATGTATGATGCCCACATCAAAATTGATGCAAAACGCATGAGCTTATCATCGCTTTTGACTGCATGATTTCGTCGGCATAGATTCATTAGCTCTTCTTTAGAAAAAAAAATGCCTCCTGGCCAAATTTGAAGATCGATAGTCACAAAAAACAATGGAAATAAGTGACAAGTGACCTTTGTGGACTTCTTGAATAAATCATTTGGTTTAAATATGTATAATCACAAAAATGCTACAATACAAAAATGGCTCATGGTAATTACTCCCTGGTTCATGTACCGCACCCATTTATCGTCCGCCCGTTCAAATTAACTCAAGCGGTTATCTAACGGATGGTCAGCGGTTGAGTGGGCGGCTAAACGGGTGACATACACCGCACCAGTTTATCGTCCAACTGTTTAGATTAGCGCAAAAGTACGTGGTTGAGCGAGCGGGTAGACGATCACCGCGCGCCCGTTGAGGTACTGCATTTGTCACTTCATAGATGATAATTGAACCAGTGAGCGGGCGAACGGTTATTCACACATGACACAATGACCAGCAAATTTCAGAGATTTTCAAAACTGTCGATCGGTTTTCGAAAGTTGGCCTCAAAAAAATAAGTTTATCATCAAAAATTCGAAAAATGTAGAAAGAAACCACTTTCTTAAAATACATACAGTTTTTGAGTAAGGTGGTTTCGGAAGCCATTTTAGATCGTAGCATCTCGACCAATTCTAATATTCTAGCCAACTTTTGGCAAGAACCAATGATGGTAAAACCACTCAGTAAAAGTTACTCATATAAAATCTTGAAAATTATTTGCTTTACTAGATTTTTGCAGTGTAGAAGGTTGAATCATTTCGTTAATCATACTTCATATTCGATATGTTGCTTTAAATTTAAGTTTGAATCTTTGCATGCGAAATCTGATGACTCTTTCTTGGATAAGAATTTTTTTAAGAATGAATTAATTATTCGTTCTTAAAAACGCATTTTATTTCATGGAAATGATGGAATTGGCTGACGAATATAACTGTAACTTGAAAAATATTTGTTCGACCAGAATGACTCAACGCCATAAATGTTTTCTCAAATAATTTAACTTGAGATTTGTTCATTGCAAAAAATAAGAAATCTCATGTCCAGTCAATCAGTCAATGGAATGGTTATCAACAACAACGGAAATTCCAATCGCAATATGCATGCTAAATCATATTTCAACAATGCCATAATATAATTTATTCTGAAATAGACGAGAGAGAAAAGATGTTTCCTTTCGTGTCATATATGAGTAGTTTGGAGCGAGAATGTTATACAGAAAAGTTGTGCGGAATATGAAACAACTATAAGAATCAGTGAAAAATAGTTAGTCAACTTTGATAGATGATAAATTATGCGTCGCTGCGTCATCTCAGCCAGCTGAATTATCTCGTTCAGTTATCCTATGAGATACTGAGTGCGATATCGCAATCACTGATTTATTTTCCCCCCAACACGTATTTTTCAAGTAAGTAACGATAAGGTATAACGTTTGGCTGTATTTAAACGATAACCAAGTACTGGAACTTATTCATTAATAAACTTTGCTCCAGCGATCCACTTCACCGGCTACAAATCACCAAAGTAAAAGAAAATGAGTAAGTTGCAAAGAGAAAACAGTACTTTATTTGCATCGACGATGCATATAAAAACAGTTGATATAGTTTAATTGCTCGCGTTGTGACTATCATATTGCTCTGAGCCTTTCACATTACTATGGTGACAGCATTGTAGATTACATTCACGGTTTAATTCATTCAAACATTTTTTTTATCCTGTTAATAATTCTATAAAATTAATGGATTTTGTTCAGTGCGATAGAATTTTGTGAGTGAAATGCTTTTTTTTTTTATTGTAGTACATATTTTGAGTATGTAAATAAGTCAAATGAAAAAAAGAATTCACAACGATCGCAAAATGAAGATCATTTCGTAGAAAACATAGCAAAAATAGCTAATTTCCAATATTTTAAACCTAATCATTGTTTTGTAGATTATAATTGGGTTCGATCAAACGCATGCTCGGTTCTACCACCAAATGCTGTCGTTGCCGGCAATGATATCGATGGAGACACGATATTGGTGGGTCGTGCATTCCACGAAGGTGATATGATACCCGCTAAGGTTATGCTTTGTAAAAGAGTTGCCTACGTCCCATATGGAGGAGCCGAAATAGCAAAGCATGATTTTGAAGTAAGGCAGAATCCACCATTAAATTCAAGTGAAACAATAATAAATTAACTAATTTTATCGGAATCGGACGTGAAATCCAATAAATCAAATTATTTTTGAGTCTAACACCTTAATGATTTCACAAAAATGACAAATAAAAATTATTTGAACACACCTGAATGCATTTCGAACTGTACACAGTTCATCATCAGCATCTGCGACTGTTGGTTAAATTGTCGCTTCGGCACAAATTCGTCATCTCTTCACACGCATAAAAAGTTCATTAGACAAAACACAAACTCATACAAACACAAACGCATAACGAAACGAATTGTTCTCGGTAACAGTTAAATGAGACGGTCGATAAGGCTTGATGTGATATTGCCTTGGTCTAAATTTATTGCGTTCGGGTCTTTTTTAATGCAGTAGTATTCATAGGCGTCGAGTCGCCGTTCATCGTTCACTTGTTGTTTCAACGATACATTTTCAATGCCGATGTTTGTATGGTCACTAAACAATGCATGTAAAGCAACAGCTAATTTGTTTGGCATGTTGTTGCAAATGTTCACCGACTCCTACTGTAATCGCTCTCTTCGTTTGTCCGTAATAAGAACGACCACAGGCACCACACTTGACACAGTAAATACCCGACTTTTTTTAAATTCGGTGTTTTGTCTTTCGTGGATCCCAATAAATTGGCTAGTTTGTTTTCATTTCGATAAACAAACTGCATGTCAAATTCGAAATACATTCAGGTGTGTTCAAATAATTTTTATTTGTCATTTTTGTGAAATCATTAAGGTGTTAGACTCAAAAATGATTTGATTTTGAAACAATAATAATTGCTAAAAAAAAAAAACTAAAAAAATCTATGATTTTGATAGGTTTTGGTTGGAATTGGATTTACATGGGTACAATCAAGTAGTGGACATGTTCCTGTGGGTGCAGTGTGCGCGGGCAATCAAAGCGATGGCGAAAAATTGTTCGTTGGCCGAGGTAATAATTCAAAATTTAAGAAGCAAACATAAGTCCCTTTCAAGTTGATCGAATTTTTGATTTCCATTTGATTTAGCACATTTTGAAGGGTCCTTGACAACGGGCAAAGTTCATCCATCCCACAACTGTATCTATGGTATTTTTATTTTTTTTTTTAGCTTCTTTACTTTCATTAAGAATATTTTTCGATTCTTTAGTTTCATTCGATGGGAAAGAGCACTGCGTTCGTCAGTACGAAGTGTTGATTCAACAACGAAGTAAGTGCAGCAATAAGGTTTTAAATAATATTCGAAATTAATTGGTTTTTTCTTCATGTTTGTTTTTCATTCTTCAGCTACTTGGGTGCCATCAACGAACCATTCCCAATTGCCAGCAGGTGCAATTTTAGCTGGTCATGACCAAGATGGATCACCACTTTACGTCGGCCGAGCATGGCACGGTGGAGATCAGGTATGTTATTACCTATTTAGTTAATGGTGGAAAATGATATGAAAAATAAATAAACGAGTTCGTTTGGTTTGAGTGTGTGAATAAGAGTCATTGCTAATGCGCGTACATAAAGTATATCATCTAATCTCATTACACAGATTCCAGCCAAAGTGATTCCCTCCAAACATGCTTGCTACGTTGCGTATGGAGGACAAGAGATTTTGAAGGATTCATTCGAAGTTTTGTGCCACGGTAACGTCTCTTGGGTCAAAATGAATCCACAATCACGGTCTGTACCTCCAATGTCCGTTACTGCCGGTGTTACTTCCGAAGGTGAACCATTGTACATCGGTCGAGCTCATCACGATGGCAGTTTAACGGTATTTAAATCATTCATGATTGAAAATCTAATTACAATATTCATTTGAGTGAATTCGACGTTTTTTTCTCAACATTTTTCAGGTTGGCAAAGTGCAAATTTCTCATGGAGCTTTGTACATTCCGTTCGGTGGTCAGGAAGTGCCCATTCATTCCGAAATCGAGGTTCTAGTTGAACACTATTGAGCAATTGAATCGATTTATCTTTTATTCAAACCATTTTCTACCTCGATTTTAAAAACCAATGCTGTTCAACTAAAGCTGTCTTTGTAAAACCCAAACCGTCAACTGAAATAAATGGAAGATATTTCGAAACTTACATTGTTGATTTTGTTTCTTTTATCAAATTGATCAAAATGCTGAGTTTTCAACACTTTAGAAAGAAGAGAAAAAAACATTGCAAACAAAGAAATTGTTAGATAACAAAGAGAGGCTTTTCCGCAAACTGATATAGAAATGAGCAAATGGAAGTTCAACTTTGAGTACGTGAAACGATAGAGACAAGCAACTTCAAAAAGAACTGCTGAAGGTCAATTTGTATTTAGAGACATTTTTTAGAATGCCAGAGTGCCTTAGATCGTAAGAGTAAACTCTTTTAATTTATTTAAATATTTTGACTCCAAAATCCAGAGCATTGAAGCGGCTGGCGATGTAGCGCTGCTGGTGAACAGATCTGTTCAAAAGCAGCTGTTGGTTGCGTGCATATTCGCTGTGACGCGCGGTCGTTCATTTAACGATTATGACACACAGTGTTTATTTCTTGCATTCACACAGAAACAGAAAGAGAAGCATATACAACGCACAAGACAGATCGTAGGTGACGCGCGCGTGCAAACACATAGCTGCCGTTCGTGTTTCGTGCGTTTTATATGCTTCTCTTTCTGTATGGATACAAGAGACAAACACTGTGTGTCATAATCGTTAAATGAACGACCGCGCGTCACAGCGAATATGCCAGGCTTTGTTATGCGCTAAATCCATCACGCTGAATAAATTCATGCGATAGATTTATGCGATAACAATGATGCGCTCGCTTTGCGGTGAACGAAGTCTGTTGCTCTTCACTACCGGTCAGCGATGCGTTCACTGCAAAGCATGAACGTTCATGCGTGAACAAGTGAAGAGCAACAGACTTCGTTCACCGCAAAGCGAGCGCATCATTGTTATCGCATAAATCTATCGCATGAATTTATTCAGCATGATGGATTTAGCGCATAACAAAGCCTGGAATATGCACGCAACCAACAGCTGCTTTTGAACAGATCTGTAGCCTGGAATATGCACGCAACCCACAGCTGCTTTTGAACAGATCTGTTCACCAGCAGCGCTACACAGCCAGCCGCTTCAATGCTCTGCCAAAATCGATGTTAATTTATTTACGCTCCCAGAAATCAGAATGTTATTCACAAAGTTGGATCGATTCGAAAATGAACTATAAATATTAAGATAAGGGGTGTCATATTTTTATTGAACAAAATAATTTTCCCAGAAATTTAATTTTAAAGAGAGACATCAATCAATTTCATTTTCATAGCATTTTCATCGAAAGTGATTTGTAATTAGTAATGTCGAAAAATCTTTTTTGAAAAGACTGAAAGCAGTCAAGTACGAGGTTGAATCATTTGTGCTGATTTCAAGGAATTTGAGCCGGCGACGATATCGGCAGATTCGTAAATGAATATCTCGTAGTGAATGCGATGGGTACAAATGTATTCTTGGAATACAGCTGTTTATTTTTGTTTCAACACAAAGCTGGCCTGAAAATGATGTCATTTACATTCGTTTTGACTGGTGTATTCACACGAAGAGCTGTATTTGAGTTTTGCCGTGTGTTATTCTCATTTAAAGTACGCAATAGGGTGTTCCAGAATAAAATTGTCAAATTTTCTGTTGTCAAACGGGCTTTAATCATTAAAACCTTCAGCAAATGTTGTCGGCGGTGAATGTGTCAATTTTGCGATTTTTTTAAATCAATTTTTGAGAGGGTATTTTTATGTTACTAAAGTCCATCTCAAATATATGCGATTTTTTTCCATATAAACCCTGAATATGTTTCGATAGGTCTGAGTGTTTTTTTATCGAATGGTTGTTTTTTTTTTCTCGATAAATTGCGAATTCATCGAAAAAATGCATCCGTAAAGAAAACTTTCAGATCTATCGAATAATACCTATGGACATTTTTTTGTCGAGGTATAAAGTAGGCTTAACTCATCGGGAAACGACAAAAATTTTACAGTTTATTTTGGATCACCCTAATGCACAATCAATTTTCTGGAGCGAACACATGAAAAGAAAAACTTTTTGGAAGTGTGTAATAAAATGAAACACACCAATCTTCGTAATACAACCTTACATGAAATTTCATAAATTTCTGATAAATGTATGAGCATTTATTGCCATTGAGAGAATGATAACTAAATGATAAATATATATATTTTTTGGATGTATGAAATATGGATTCAATTGCAAGTGTTGGCATATTCATGATTCATAACGTGACATGACTCATTGCTGTTATTCCAAAATCCATATCAGGTAATGGTATCGTGAACGGCGATAAGATTCGATGTCTATTTAAACGGGTTACACGTACTGGATATTGTCTTTAACAATAATTCAACAAGTGAATTACATCCGCAACAAAATAACTCAGCTTTTTATAAAATTCAATACGCTGAAAGTATTCCAAACGATTTACTTTTAAAATGAGTAAGTATTTTGCAAAAGCATTCTGTTTTACTGTTTGAAAAATGTAGTGTGTATGCCATTTCATTGCTGAGTTAAATATGTTTAAACGTTTGTTATTAATTGCTCAATAATTGTCAGACCCGATTCAAAACGGCAAAAGTGAGTGCGAACTTGGGTGTGACATCGTGCGGTTTTTTTTTTTTTGGTATTCGCTTTTAATTTGATTTATCATGACAAAATAATTAGCACAAACAAGTGATAACAATTGTTATACTAATTGTTTCGGGTGCTATTGTTTTTTTTTCGGTTTGAATGCTGGCTGAAAGACACGTTGACACTTAAATCCTATTCTCTTGAGCGTGTTTAAAAGTGTTTATCTTTCAAAATAGAAAAAAAAAGAGTATTAAAAACGGCAATGGTTGTCTAAATCTAATAATTCTCTTTTTAAAGGTTTGAATTGGGTTCCATCAAACGCACACTTGGGTGTACCGCCAAACGCTGTCGTTGCCGGCAATGATATCGATGGTGCCACCATATATGTGGGTCGAGCATTCCACGAAGGCGACATGATTCCGGCTAAGGTTATTCCAAGCAAACAGGTCGCCTACGTTCCATATGCAGGAGCCGAAGTAGCAAAATATGATTTTCACGTGAGTACTTTATCAAAAAGAAGAAAATTGTCGACGAATCAATCGACAAAACGACACATTATAAGGAATCCATTTGAAATCGTGCAGATTTTATGCGGATCGGGATTTACATGGGTGGCCAGTTCCAGTGGTCATGTTCCCCCTGAAGCCGTTGTAGCCGGCAACCAAAGCGATGGTCAACCATTGTATGTTGGACGCGCCAATATTGGCGGCGCATTAACCACCGGAAAAATTCATCCATCGCACAATTGTATGTTCAGTTTGTTATTGTTTAGTAATTTATTTTCACAATTAAAATTCGTACAATGCAGGTATCTATGTCCCATTCGATGGGATTGAACACAGCATTCCCACATACGAGGTTTTGATTCAGCAAAAGCGATGTAAGTGAAATAAATTCAAATCAAAAGCATTAAAATTAAACACACTACCATTAATAATAAGTGAACGAAATAATTTACATTTTTTATATCCAATAGCAACTTGGGTGCCATCAACGATCCACTCGCCATTGCCAGAAGGCGCTATTTTAGCTGGTCATGATCAAGATGGTTCTCCTATTTACATCGGACGGTAATTTAACTTGTTGATCTATGAATAAAACATCAATTAAACGAAAATTAAAGTTGAATAATAATTGATAAATTCAAATATCCTCCCATATATAGCGCTTG